AACCCCTAAGCCCTAAACCGCAAGCCCCGAAGAAGAGCTGCGAACTTCCCCAAGCAAGTCGCCAGAGCCCAGCCAATCCGCCGGACAAGCTCCGCCTGGGTTTAGGGTTTAGGTTTAGGGGTTTAGGGGTTTAGGGGTTTAGGATTTAGGGTTTATCGGTCTAGGGTCCGTTCAGGGCTCCTGTCAGGGTCTTTCATAGATTTCCTTTAAGGGTCTCTTCAGGCTTCAAGGTTTACTGTAGAGGTCTAGATTTTTTGAGGTTTAGGGATGAGGGTTTCAAAGGCTAAGGGCCTCAGGGCTTTCGTGTCCAAACCTCAGTATGGTGAACCGTCTAGGTCGGCCCAGACCCTCCAACTACCCCCTAAACCATAAACCCTAACCCCTAAATAATAGACCTGAATACCTACTATGACGGATATGGCTCCATTACAGCGCAGTTGGCGCCTCCAGGCGGGTTGCGGGCTTGAAAGTCTGGGGTTTCGGTGTCGGATTTCTCGATGTATGCTACGGCTTGGGGTTTAAATCTACGGCTCTGGCTTTGCGAGTTCTGGGGTTGGGGGCATGAGGGCTTCGGGGTTTACGGCTTAGGTTTACGGCTTTGTTAGCACGAGGGGCTGCGTTTGGGGTCCGCAGCACCCTCTCCAAAAGAAAGGTCAAGGTGGAGGGCTTCGGTCCAGCCTAAACCCTAAACCCTAATATGGGAACCTGATTAAGAAACCTTGAGTATTCATTAAGGGTTCGTTATATGACTCCCAATATATTGGGATTATAGGGGCCGGGGTTTTTGAATCAGGCTCCTACATTAAACCCCAAATCCTATAAGCGCTGAACCCCAAACCCAGGCTTCGCAGGGTCCAGATCTGCTAGGAGTGGGTCATGATAAGGAAGGCGTTGGGGAAACTTAGGAGTCCTGATTTGCCGCGGCACTGCTGCAAAACAGAATCGGGGTCAAAGCTAGTGAACGGAGACCCTGGAATAAACCCTAAACCCTAAACCCTAAACAAAGAGTTGGCTTTTGCGATGCGCACCCCCGCTCAAGGTTTGGGATTTAGGTGTCGGATACTTTTTTCCAAGCTTGGAGTTTAAGGGCTTCGGGGCTGCAAGGGATTCGGGTGTAGGGGGTGTTGGGATTTTCGTACTTCGGCTTGGGTATACAGGAACTCTCCTCCCCAAACTGCCTTAGGCCACATGGAAGTGGTAAGTCTTGGTTCATAGCATGCGAAAGCCGAAACGGAGAACCAGGAGAGGGTCGCACCATCTGCGTCATTGTGTAAACCCTCCAACCCTAACCCTAAACCCCTAACCCCTAAACCCTAAACCCTAAACCCTAAACCCTTAAACCCTAAACCCTAAACCCTAACCCTAAACTGTGCTAGGCTTTCGGGGTTTGGTGGGAGCCCCCTCTGAGTGCAGCCAAGAGTCGAGAGGAACTGCTCCAGCTGCGTCCTGCGGCTTGGGTTTAGGGTTTAGGGTTTAGGGTTTAAGGGTTTAGGGTTTAGGGTTTAGGGTTTCGGGCTTAGGGGTTCAAGGTTCGGCCTTAGGGATTCTTGTTAATTTAGGGTTTAGGGGTTTCGGGGTTTCGGGGTTCTGGGGTTTAGGGTTTAGGGTTTAGGGTTTTAGGGTAGAGTGTCTTCTTGGGCATGAACTTGGATTCCAAGCAGGGCGGCTGCACGGCTTGGGAAGCTTCCTCGCAGCTACATCGAGCGATGGCAGGAATGTAACTTCGGGGTTCTACACACTGGAACACATTTTTGTTTTGGCAATGAGGATCAGGGTGACCCTTGGGGATATAGACCCTCTCTATAAGGCCCCTTTTGAGAGAGCCGAAGGTAGGATTCAGAAGGGTCCCCTAAGGGGTCTACCTAATACCGCCCATGATCTTTGGGGGGGAGGGGGGAAGGGCATAATATGCTATAGCTGCAACAAGGAACCCTGAGGAGAAGTAGTATGTGTAATAATTCAGGTTCCCCCATGCTAGCAGAAGAAATAGTGACGAGGTGACCGGAACGAATTCTGGACCCCCCGTTCAATTCATGGAGTCGTCAGGACTTGCATCAACGTCAGACGCAGCGGCTGAGAGTCCAAACGAAAAGGCTTCCCACAAATTCGAACGGTTACTGTTGCCGAAAAGAGCATTCAGAACGATGCGGGAGCTAGGGGCCCTTACCATTGAAAAATTGAGGGGCGTAGGGTCGGAGAAAGAAGGAGGAAACAAATCACTGACCAACAAGGAGGTAGAGACAGAGAGAGAGAGAGACGCGGCCGGCGCGGAGACGGAGCCCGCATCTCCAATCGCCATCTGAGAATTCCGAGCAGAGTCGACGGCGGAATCCTTTCATCAAATGGGCCGTGATTGTCATCAAGCAGGCGACGGTTTGTTGTGAAAGCCAATCCAAACAGGTTGTCCGTGCACCACCTCATCACTGGAAGGTAATGTAGGGGCCGTAATAATTCGAACAGGGTCTTGAGCCATATTATACTATAATTATAATAAGCAGCCCCCAAAATGGTACAGGTAATGATGTAGGCCCCTATACCATAGAGTCCTACTATAGATCCCTTATAGAACCCTTTAAGGAGCCCTTCAAGGGAAGCCTATTCTAAGTATTTTAAGCCCCTGTAGTATTCACGAGCCCATCAAACAACCGAGTCGCACAGTCTGACCAAGAATCTAAACCCTAAACCCTAAACCCTAAACCCTAAACCCTAAACCCTAGACCCTAAACCGACTTCAGGCCCAAGGTCGAGAAGATGCGACTTGGGGTTTGGGTTAGGCTTAGGGGTTTAGGGTTTAGGGTTTAGGGTATAGTTTAGGGTATAGTTTAGGGTATAGAGGGTTTAGGGTTTAGGGGGTTTGGGGGGTTTTGGGGGTTTTGGGGTTGAGGGTTTAGGGTTTAGGGTTTCGGGTATAGGGTACAGGGTTTAGGGTATAGGGTTTAGGGATATGGGGTTTAAGGGGTTTGGGGAGTTTTAGGGTTTAGGGTATAGGGTATAGGGTCTAGGGTATAGGGCTTAGGGGGTACAGGGTTTAGGGGGTTTGGGGGGCCTAGGGTTTAGGGTTTAGGGGGTTCAGGGTTTAAGTTTAGGGCCTCAGGGTTTCAGGGTCTGGGGGGGTCTATGTAGACGTAGGGTGCGCTCGGCAGCGTTATGTTTTCCACGGCGCTAGTAAACGCCCCAAGAAACCCTAGACCCAGAAGAAGCCATCTTAAAGGCAGAATCCCGAGCAACGCCAAACCCTAAACCAACAAGAACCAAAACCGAAACCCTGAGTCCAATCCTGGCCACTAAAGCCTAAACACTCAACCCTACACCCTAAACCCCCTAAGCCCTAAACCCTACAAACCCTAAGCCCGAAACTCTACACCCTAAACCCCCTAAACCCCCTAAACCCCGAGACCCTAAGCCCTTCAAAAGCCCCGAAGATTCCAAGGGTCGCCCCGGCTCCTGCCGAACTGCGCAGAACCAAGCAAGCAAGGCCTGCGGGTTTAGGGTTTAGGGTTTAGGGTTTAGGGTTTAGGGTTTAGGGTTTAGGGTTTAGGGTACTTTTTCTATGGCGGCCTAGGAAGAAACCCAAGATATCAGTGTTGCGTTTAGGGTTTATGGGTGCTCCTTTGTGGCTGGTGTAGGCGGGTGGGGAGCAAATATTTAAGAACTGTAAGAGGAGATTGGTAACTTTTCAACCCTCGAAATAACGGCTCCACGGTTTAATAGAGCTTTGACATATTGGGACTCTCAAGGTAAGTGCGAGACCTAAACCCCCAACCCAAGACCGGCTACAGTGCGAGCCAGCTAGAGCTCTCCAGGAAGATATCGGGATATGGGTCCGGGTGCTCACGAATCCAAGACCATAGATCAGTAATTCGAAAAGGGCTTTGGCGAATATACTTCCAGCTACAGTAGGACCAGAAGGAACAGACTTGATTCTTTTTTAGGCTTCCAGGGCTGGGCTTCGGGGCACGTAGTGCTCTCGTACGGGAACTATAAGGAAATACATTCCGAAGTGTTCTATATAAATCCATTTACAAGCGCCATCAAAACCCCATAACACACCATATTCCACAATGTACACACAGACGAAACTCTATAAAAAAAAACCATGAAACCCCTATAAAACCTAGACGCCTTCATGATTCCTATTGCTCACTACTCAGGCCCTATGCTAGATCACCGAGCCGGCCTGCGAATAGACGAAGCCCGGAGACTGATCCACCTGCAAGGCTGGAAGGGTTCGGAAGGGCTGGGCGTTAGGGTTTTATGGAAAGCAGGGATTTTACGGCACTCCTTGCAAAAGTTCTAGAAGAGTTACTTTTGGGATAGAGGGCTGAGTAGTTGGGATGGGGCTTGGAGGGGGGGTGTAAACCATTATAGACATGTTCGGAACTATATGGGTGTGCTGCCACCAGTTATTCTGATCACGACGTAAAGGGCGCAGGGTTCGACTCTATGGTTTTCAGTGCATAGGTAGGGCTCATGCTTGGGTTTGGGGTTTAGGGTGTAAGGTTTGGGCTTCGGCTGTGATGGGCTATGCTTCGAGAACTATTGGGGTTGGGGCTTATGGTTTTGGGGGTTTGAGGCTTTCGGATTTTGGGGTAGAGTGTTGGGAATTGATTTCTGTTCCCCCCTCCCCACACAAATCTCTAAACCATGAAACCCTAAAGCTTCAAAACCCCTCCACGATTCCTATCACCTTGCCCCCCTTACCGAGACTGCGTAGGCTTTTGGTGCCTTCGTCCGTCGTCAAGGTTAGAAGGGTTTAGGGTTTAGGGTTTAGGGTTTAGGGTTTAGGGTTTAGGCAATTGATGAGCCCTAACCGCGAAGTCCAAGAATCAACCCCTGAGAAATCTCTTATAACACTGAAGGAAACTAGAGGTGGGAAGTTTAGGGTATATAGGGCTCCTATAAGGCTTCGATAAGGCATATAGACCTTCTGTAAGGCTCCTAGAACGGTAACTAC